TGAGGACCCGCTCGATGATCATGAATTCTCAATGAGAAACAGGGACACCTCTCAGTGATACCATCGATCATGTAATTAATAGCTGCGTTAAATAGAGAAAACAGCTTTGAAATTGTTGTAAAATTCTTTAAAGCCGTAATCACATTATAGGTTGCCGGTTACAATTTTCGGTTGACAATTCTATTTTAGAATACGGACTAACTGCATCATGATTGGTTAAAATATAACCAGAAACTTCAACTAACTTATAGTATGGTGATAGCTTAATATGATTGGTTTTAGCCCTTTAGTTCCTTACGAGAAATGTATAAACCAATCATATTAAAAAATTTTGTACCAGCTGCGAAGCTACTTTCCTACTGAACGAATGATTGCTTAGATAAAAGATTCGGTAAGAAGGTGGTATTTTATTTTTCGTATTTTATTTCTCAACGCGCATCACCAATAATTTAAAAATTTCACTGTGTATCTACTTGTTTTTCGTTAAATCATATTCGTTTATACTTTGCAAAAACACGTAGCGCTTCTAAAATTTAAAAATTTATAAATTTACCTAGACTTGTACCATATTATCCAATAAAATATGAATAATATAATACAGCAATTTCTTTTACATTTGATTAAATTCTTCGCTCGTATTTGTTATGCCGTCATGTAGATTTATTTGGATAGGCTTTCAGCGTATTAGGAAAAATAGAAGAAGAATCGAGACTCAACCAACATGGACCTTCAAAGGACATTCGATAGAAAATTAAGAATTGCAGAGCTTCTTCTGTTGCTAAGAGCTATCAATGCGAGCAAAAACATCTTCGATATTTTCGTTAGCAGCAAATTGATCCTCTATCAGAGGGATATACAAGACTCGCGATACACAAGACGGCTGGCTTTGATCGTGGATTAATCGAAAGGGGTGTGATAGTGAATCCCCGCGTTGCGGCGCCTGGTTTGAGATAGCCGAGAGAATCTGACGGGCCTAATAGCGCATTCCCAGTAACTGCCGATAAAACGGCATGTCTTCGATAGGAAACGAAATACGATCGTAAAAACACGCTTTTACGTTCCCATTTACGATTGCGCGCCTTAAGATCGTACGCTTCGCTACCGTAATTATGCAAGTACTGTGCAGAGCGTGGCTACGTATAGACAGGTGGCTTTTACATTCATAAACCTGATGACGATTAGTAACGGAACATAATACCGTTGATTACGTGTTTCCAGGGTACCAGAAGAACTTTACAAAATTTGGAAAATAAAATACATTTTTTTCTGAATTCTTTAGTTTCATTTCAATGAATGAAAATTGAACCAGTCTTGAAAAAGGAGTAGCTCAATTTTCAATCTTTGAGAGTTTATTCTACAGAGTGAGATTCGCTCTAAAAGTTTCAGAGAGGGAGTCTATCATAGATATTTATATATATCTAACCAGGGTTGGTAAAGACTAATGTTTTTTTTTTTAAGAATAAAACGTATTGTGTCTTTTCTTAAATATCTTTTTAATGTTTCAAATATGCTTTAAACAGTACTATAAAAAAAATCATATTTAAAGCATATTAAAAATTAAGCATGTTTTAAAGTGTTTAAAATACATATTAAATATATTTTTATCAATCCTGTATCTAATACTAGATCGTTGACTTGGTTCTAATATATGATTCCGAAAAATATATACTAAACTTATGGTGCCTGACGTAGGAACATTACTAGTCAACGCATGCGCATGTAAGTCCATATATATGTTACATCGACACCGTATACCATGATTGATTGCAACTTATCTATGATAATATTATCTCCGAATTTTTTCCACTTAAACTGTGACAACTTTTCACGCGGCAAGATATCGATATTGTAACTTTTAACGTAAAAGCATGAATATATAATGCAAACATGTGGCTGATGTGTGGCCCTATCGGCCATTACACATTGTGTGATCACGTGACCGTTTTCTCCTATATCACGTTAATGCATAGGTTTTGGAATCAATTTTTATGCACGATATATAAGCGAGTCAGTGATCTAGTGTTAGATATAAATATCTATGGAGTCTCTATATGTATATTTAGCAATATGATATTTATATGTGCATTATATATCAAATATATTATTTTATATGTGTGTACATATATAAATGTACGTATGTATGTGTGTATGTATGTATTGACGTGTAACTGGCGAAATATACGCTATATAAGATAAGTCCGGCAAGGGCAGAAAGGCGTTCCCACATGGTTGGCCATACGTATGTTGCATTCACTTTACGTGACACACGTTGTGTGGTATAAATTAAAATTGCAAATGTCTCTACTTTTAAATACGCACTTATATAAGCTAAAGATAAAACAAAACGCATTACATGGCAATATCACGTACAATCGATAGTAAGAGAACAAAAGCTCCAGAAAATTCGACGTACAAGGTCAATCAAAGAAACAGCAACAGGAAATTAGTACGAGTATTATCATTCTAAAACTTCTTTAATAATTTATTACCCGCTTTCTTTAGAAAATGTTTTTACATTTATAAATATCTTTTAAAATTTATTCCAATTGTAAAAAAAATATTATCTAAAATAATTAAAATATCATTAAAAACATTTTATGTATATAATTATCTTATATGTGCGTTATTTGAAATTATCGTGCAAATATATTAGTAGTAATTTAATGAAATAATTAGATGTCTAATATTTGAATATTACGGTATTAATGCATCAGTTTTTTACGGCGACATATCGCTCGATCAAAGCATGTGAAAAATGTGAATTTTTATGAAGCTTACAGCACGAGTTAATTGGAAGCTCGTATGGCGATATGGCGATGCGTGCAAACCGCGTGATTTTCACGCACGTATTAACAGACGGAATTACACCGGAGTTACGATCCGTTGATTTTCTAAAGAGCGGCAAACCACGTGTTTTTTCTTCTGTTTTCTCTCTACTCGAGCGTCAGCCGCGTGATGCTGTTCGTGGAAATGCAAATACGCCGTTTGTTTGCTCAAATTGCGATCGGTGTCGTAAGTCTGCGATCTGTTTGCATTACTTCGGATTGGACATCCACTCTCTCGCTTATCGATAATGTCGATACCATTCGACATAAGATAACGTCTAAATTTGCACGCTATTCGTCTATTTCTCGCGCCGTTTCGTAATTCATGCCGCACGTCATTAACTCGGGCCGGGCGCTATTATCCAAGAACGAGCCGATTACTCGCGATCCGACTGTCGACTCGTCGAGAATTGGAGAGTTGCTTCGAGTGCCAACGGTGGCAGAGGGAATGAGAGACGCGGAGATCGATTTTACAGTAATACGAAAGGAATGCACCACCTTCCCACTTTGGCTTAGGACCAACCCCCCTTACACGACCCGGAAAGGGGGTTGAAACGAAAATTTCACAACGTCAAATTAGAATTGTATGCGACCATTGTGACGACCACTTAACTGCCCTTGAGAATCTTCCTTCTTCTAAATAGAGCACACTTAGCGTTGGAGGGTAGCTCATAAATATTTTCGTTATGCTCGAAGGAACATTTCTTGCGCTTCACGTGGGAGTGAAAAATGACTTACAAATTGATCTCGCGATCAATGCTGATTAAATCTACTGATGAATGTAAAAAAATAATACAGTGAACAACATGCAATTTAAAAACAACACAGAAATTTGATATAGAATATCGACGACTGTAAAAGTAACCTCTGGAAAAGTAACATCTGGAAAATAAAACGTTTATACGTTTTTGAATCTACAAAAAATACTAGAAATATCTGTTTCGCTGTAAATTTATTTAGCTTTAAGTAAAAATAATCCTCAAAGAGTGAAAGAAAAAGTATCTTGATACTCACGGACAAAAATGTTGCTCATCAACGTGGCCGGCAGACAGAAGACAATGACGAGCACGTCGGCTACCGCGAGATTGACAATGAAGAAATTCGTGACGGTCCGCATGCGAGGTGACCGATACACCACGGCGATAACGCAACTATTGCCGATCAGACCGACTACGAAGACGACTACGTACGCCACACAGTAGACCGCTGACATGGCCACGCTGTGCCTGTAAAACCGATCGGACGCGTGCTCGATCACCGACAGGTTCTTACTGGCATTGAACAATAGGACTTGATCCTCCATAGTGGCACGCGGACTCGTCGTTGCGATCGCTTCCGTGATCAGATTGTTGAAATAATCACCCAGATCGTCCCTCATCTGCAGGAAGGTACCGGTACCCGGCGGCACGGTCGCGACTGTCGTGGCCGGCACGTTGCCGTTATTACTCCTGCGGCGCGTATCAACGTCAAACTCCTCCGAATCCGGTAGTCTCAGGGACGCCATCTCCAGGAGGGGAGACGGTGGCTGCAGCATCGAGAACTTGAGCGTATACTGACGGATTGACGTTTCGACCATTAGCCGAAACGCTAACCGTGACCACCGTCGTTTCTCCTCCTCGACGCGCTCGCCGTCGTGTCGACAACCCCGGCCAACCTCGACACCTACGCGACCTTCCGGTCGCGGTGAACGACGTCGTCTCGTTAGCTTTCACTCGATAGCTTCTTCTACAGACTTCCTCGCACTCGGAAGTCCATGCTCCAATCAGCGACCGATTAGATTGACAAACGCGAGAAACTCGCGCAAACGATCGTTCGATTGCCGAAAACAATGCGTCGATGGAGGATGACTTTCGGCATCGATTTCTTTCTTGGGGATATCTGATGAGTATCTACACGCGTAGATCGAATGCTGAAGGATACGCGTGGTCTAACTGAGCGCGTTTTGCACGTGTGCCAAAGTCCATCTAACCGGGACCCGGAACCCGGGACCACTCTCCGAATTGCCGGAGAGATGCGATCGAGGGTGAAAATTGAAGTAGCAAGAGTCTAAAGTGATCGAACTAAGTGATTCGTCGAATGATGGGACAGGGAGGAAATGGATAACGAAGTGAGGAAAGAGTATATGTATGAAAAACGTGTATTTGCCGCGGCCGGGGATGCTGAGCGACTAATGGGCCTGCTTTAGAGGACGACCGCGAACTGCTGCGAGATGCACCCGTCGCGGCGAGCTGTCTGGCGATGCTCCACGACTGCGCAAGCGTTACATCCAGCGGCACATGCACCCGCATGCGAATGTGCTCGCGCACTATAACCCACTAGAGACTACTGTGCGAGCAAAACTCTGGGAAAATAGGAAGAGTGTTGGCGACGATGACAGCGCGACGCGGCTGCTCCGCAATCGCACAGAGAGCGGTCGCGCGTGTCCATCCTTCATCGTCCATCCTCCTGTGCCGTCCATCCTTCTGCCGAAATACGCGCGACGAATTCGTAAAACCCCCTCCGTTGGCATCGCTCGCATCGCCGACTCGGCGCCCCCGTCGGAACTCCCCATCCCTTTTACCCCTTTAGCCAAATGTCGCCAAGCGATTTTGCCGCACGTTCTTCAAGTGCATCGTCCACGTTTATTGCTCTTATATCATACTTCGAATTATATATATATTTTGAAGCTAAGAAAGCAGACAATAATATACAAAGAGGAACGAGAAAACTGACATCTCGACAATCCATAAACTGATTAATAGCGTTATTGATAAGATAGTATTAAATCCTGGATCTATAATGATAACATTTAAATTTTAGAAAGGAAAAAATATGAAATATTTATCTCAAAGTTATGAATAGGATCTAAATAATAGTAATAAAATAATCAACTAAATCGTAATCAAATTTGTCAAAGAATTTGTCAAAAGAATTTGTCAGTAAAATAATATTTTGAAAAATCGTATGAACGATAAAAAAGTTACACCAAGTGTGTTGCATTCTTAATGAATTCTACAATAAATCAAATTATTCAATTGCAACAAATGAACAAGGATAGTAAAAAGTCGGTATATTTTTTTATAAGAGATATTCAACCTTTGTGGGCGTCCAATGCGTTGCAGAGCTGAATGTTCCACTGAAAACGCACATACGCTCAAAATTTCCTGAATGTGTCAGAACCAAAACTAAAACCGTAACCCAAAAGAGACACATTACGTTTGCGTAGTTTTAACGCTGTCAACAAATACTGTTGCTATACTGACGTGAAGTCTGTGCCAAAAGTGACTGTAACTCGAAAGAGACGCGTTTCATGAATGTTTTACGTCACTTTGATGAGCACAATATGCTTTGAAAACACCCTTCTATTAACTAACATTATAAGAAATAATTTTTTTGTTAAATTGATATTATTATCTTTTTAACAATGCAATTTTAATATTTTTCTCACGATTATTGAATAACTTTCTCATAGTAAAACTAATGTCAGTTAAAATGATTATAGAAATCGTAGATCGTATAGAGATACGTATATGTTTGATTAATTTCACCGTACTATTATAAAAAAGGTATACAGAAAATATGAAATATCGGAGATATGTAATTTTAAAGGAATCTCGCAGCTCTTTCCATTGACGTTGAAATATTTCTGTAGCAGGTGTTTCTTATCTTGCGACGGAATTTCGTCGAATGAATCTCTCATGTTGGATATCTGTCTTCAAATGACAAGTTTTGTTTTCTTTTCTTAAATGAAACAACTGTATCGATAAACATCTCTGAATTCTTTTACAAAGTATAATAATCTTTAATTTTTATCATCATTTTTATCATCACATATTAACATCTGTGTATCCAAGATTTTTTTCGGAAGGAGAAAGATTCTTTATCAATTCTGTTATATAAACAGCAATTTTTTGCGTTAATGAAATGCTTTTTTAATATTTTAGGAAAAATATTAGTTTTTGTAAATCATAATTTTTTTTCTGAAGAAGATATGGAAAGATATAGCCATTAAAAACATAATATGTAGTTGTCAATAAATATTCTCATTAATATCTCAGCACATATTGTTTTCCTAAGCTCAAAACTTTTGTAAAAATTATCCTTATTGTATTGAGTACTTTGTCAAAGTTTTAATTAACGGAAATTCCGAAAATTCTTTATACAATCGTAACGGAGAGAAACAAATATTTTATACCTTAGACAATAAAATTACTAGGAGGTACAGGTAAAGTTATATTTTTCATATAAGTTGTATTATTTATATGTTAATTAAAAATAAAAAAATAAGTAAAAAATTTTGAGAGTGAAACCTCTTTAATTTCTCTGGATATGCGCTTGTGTATATTAAATTATTTATTATATTCTGAATTAATTCACATTTTTTCAAGTTAGTTTATAAAAGTTTTATAGAAACGTTTCAATTATCTTTTATTAAAAATTATAAAAGAAGTAATACGTTATATTGGAAAAACAAATAGATATTTCTATGAGAGAACACTTGGATTCAACACTTTAGCCATGATAGTTTTAACAACGTATTGTGCCCGTGAAATATCATAGTGAAGGGATTGTTACTATTCTTGAAGAGGTTTTCTCAAGCAATTTTTTGTTTTTAAATATTATTCTCTAATAATTTTGATTTGAACGATTGATTTATAATCTTGAAATATATTACACAAACAACAAGAGAGATCATGCCTCATTATTAACTTGTTCCTGATTTATCGATGATAATCGACTAATAATGACCTAATAATAATTAATTCTTCATAATTGTTCCAGAGATAATGGGACTTATCAGTTTTAAAGAGCTTTTCTGGATCGTTTAAAGAAGACGACTGCGTGACGAGCCTCAATCATTGATTCTGCTCAATTTCAATAAAATTCGTCTTTCTTTAACATAATAAATAGAATGTTTTTAGTACATATTATAATAATATTATAAATATTATTATAATATATATTTATAATATTTTATTTACAAGTTATGTATTTAATTTTTATAACAGCACAGCATTTTTGCTTATGCTTTTATTACGCATTTCTTATCACAATGCTCTAGTTCGTTCTATTTCTAGCAAGTTGGTGTTACAACAAATAGCAGAAGAGGGCATCTTTTTCTCCAATATCAGACACAGGTTATAAATAAATTTACAAAACATTCGACACTTGACCTAGTGTAGAATATAGAGATTTTGATAGAAAATGTCCAGTCGTCACATACAAAGTACTTACTGAAATGTATACATTGACACACAAAGTTGATCGAGTGTTTTGAAAATTAGAAAAAATTGTGCGTATTCGAAAGTTTTATCATTTTAAAAATATATTATTCAGAATTTTTACATAATATACAAATTATGAGAATTTGCTTTTGCATATCTAATTTCTTCTTTTCTTCTTTTTATATTAAATACTTTTAATTTTTAAAAATTTCAATCAATTTTTTACAAGTGACTGTATTTATTACATACAATAATTTTAGGATCTAATTAATTTTTTTAGGATTATTATCTGCTATTTATTTAAATTTGACAAAACGTTATGTCATACATCTGCGTATTGTTTGTACATCGATTATCAAAAATAATCAAATGTTTGCTGGCGTGGAAATGCATTCGGGATTAAGACATGCCATCAACTGTAAGATGCATGGGTAAATATTACTATTACGACATAAATTTTGGAAAGGCAAAGGAGAGTATCCACTCTGTGTCGGTTCACTGTCAGCGCGACGGATCAATTGCGGCACTGCAATGCACATTCGAGACAAATACAGTCGCACGTAGCAGTGTGTGCAGCTCCTATTAATCTCTTTCTCTCTTCTACTTGGTCGTAATTCTCCCCATTCTCCTTACTTTCTCCTTTCCTTTCCACATTACGTCATTCGTCTTATGTCTCTCCATTCATCAGCTTGATTTCGTTTACGTTTTTTGCAGCGTGACGCCCACCGTCGTCGTCTTTCGCTGATTATGTAGGATCGTATGACTCCGGCGAAATTGCCCAAATTTCCGGTTTCTAGAACAACGTTACTGCGAGCGACAGCTAAGCGGCTAATTGAATCGTATTTCCAAGGACGCTCAGTGAAATAAATTGTCCAAATAAAATTAGTGGTTATTAAACGTTTGTCAGCTGAAATTTGTTAAAAAGATCCTCCTGTTCTCCCGGCATCGTTTCGAATTATCGATGATAACACGATTATCCCGACAACTCAATTAGAATCTCGTTTAATCCCTTCCCTATCATCATTTACCAAGTTTCATCATACTTGGTTTATTCTCATCATTTACTCATATGTTCTCTATTAAAAGTTGTAAATTTTTTCCTGTTTACTTAAAATTGTGCCAACAATGTTTATTTTAATTAATTCATAATTTATATGTATATATATATATATAAAATCCAACAATAAATAATATTAATCTTTATCTAAGAACATTTTTTGCACATTGGAGTAAATTTTCTCCCAACAAGAATTTAAATGACATTATTTATTTTTATTTTTTTTTTTTGTTAAGTTAAATATTATTAAACATAATGATATATTTATAAATGAAATATCACATTTAAATTTAAATTCGATTATTTGATATTTATATTTGATTTTACATAAATAAGTTTGATATGAGAACATTAAAATTTATTTAAATCTAGAGACAAAGAAAATAGATTTCTATCTAATTGCATTCATAAAACTGGAAAAGGTTAATTCCCAAAAAAAAGTTCAATCTAAACAAATAAAAATAATCAATAATTTCGTCCTCGTATATGTAAAATAGAATAACTAAAATTATTATAATAATTATTATTAAATATTATTTGTAAAAATGTTTTTTAAATTTTACAAGTCTACCTTCTTAATATTATAAAAATCTTTTGTCTTCATATTGCAAAGAAACACAAATTACAATAGCTAAAATTCGCGACGATTTCCATTTCTTTTATGCTTCATTTATTTATTGCCAAAATAGCTATATGTATTTTGTCCTATCACATTCTTAATATAACCATCCCATAAAGGAAAATGGTCTTGCGATATGAAGTGCGAGAGGAAAAAAAATATCAATGTCTAAAGTCACGATGCAACATCGATATAGCTAACTGTCATTCTCTTTTTCATATTGGGCTTTGTAACTCCCATCAAAATAGCTGCCTTATATTTCGTCTTGTTATATTCTCGTGTGACTGCGATTCCACTGAGATTACCTTCTTTATTCGCGTACAAGATTGCAAGCCGTATCGCGGAAAGATGTTTGGGACAATGGCGGGAGAAAGCACAGCGCGAAAACTTCGAGGAACGAATCATAAGTTCCGAACCG